AAAAAATCTTTATGAAGTGTTTTCATTTGTTATTTAACATTTCTATTTTCCAAAACATTGTAAACTGTGACAAGGTTGGTGACAAAATGAAAGTAAGTATCAGTGGTATATCGTTTTCATTCTACTTATAGTAATACATTTACATTCCCATATATCTATCTAACTATCTATCAATCCATCTATCTATCTACCCATCCATCTATCTATCTATCTATCTATCCATCCATCCATCTATCTATCCATCTACCTATCTACCCATCTATCTATATCTACCTACCCATCAATCTAACTATCTATCTACCCATCTATCCATCTATCTAACTATCTATCTACCCATCTATCTATCTATCCATCTATCTATCCATCCATCCATCTATCTATCTATATATCCATCTACCCATCTATCTATATCTACCTACCCATCAATCTAACTATCTATCTACCCATCTATCCATCTATCTAACTATCTATCTACCCATCTATCTACCCATCTATCTAACTATCTATCTACCCATCTATCTATCTATCCATCTATCTATCCATCCATCCATCTATCCATCTATCTATCTATCTACCCATCTATCTACCCATCTATCTAACTATCTATCTACCCATCTATCTATCTATCCATCTATCTATCCATCCATCCATCTATCTATCTATCTATCCATCTACCTATCTATCTATATCTACCTACCCATCAATCTAACTATCTATCTACCCATCTATCTAACTATCTATCTATCCATCTATCTATCTATCTATCTATCCATCTATCTAACCATCTATCTAACCATCTACCTACCCATCTATCTATCTATCCATCTATCTATCTACCCATCTATCTAACTATCTACCCATCTATCTAACTATCTATCCATCTATCTATCTATCTATCTATCCATCTATCTAACCATCTATCTAACCATCTATCTAACCATCTATCTACCCATCAATCTAACTATCTATCTACCCATCTATCTATCTATCCATCTATCTATCTACCCATCTATCTATTTACCCATCTATCTATCTATCCATCTATCTATCTACCCATCTATCTATTTACCCATCTATCTATCTATCCATCTATCTATCTACAGTATGAAGCAAAACTCTAAAGTTCTGCTGCAACAGGTGTAAAATGAATAAACCAACGCCAGGTTGATTTGCATATCCAAGAGGGTACACAAAAGCATGGTTTAGGAAACAGAGACATTTTTTTCTCAAATGAACCCCTTTAGATACTTGTAAAAACAATGAGTAAAACCTACAAAAAATACCTACAAGCAGTCACAACCAAAACAAATCTAAAATCTAAACTGTCATCGCTGTGCAAACGTGTACAGAAGTAAAAGTGTAACCCAAAAATAGGAAAACTCTGAGTCTCTTACCTTCATCTGTGGACCTTTTCACAGAGCGGAGAAATCCTCTCTTCGACCAGTCTTTGCAAACAAGCCAGTTTGTCGTGTGTGGCAGAGAGTTTTAACTCGGCGTTCAAAAAAACAAAACTCCTGGCTCTTCTTCTTCTTTCCTAAACCTACAGACTGTCTCTTTCTTTTTCCCCGCTGGAGACAAATTCACCACCACAGGAAATTGCCTTTCAGAGCAGTCTTATTTTTCAGACGTTCAACATCACGTCAGATTTTGTTAATGCTTTATAAAAAATGTGTTAATGTTACTTTACTATACATTAAATGATGATTTGTAAAAGGACATTTTGGGTGTTTAATCATTCATAGTATTTCCAATAAAGACTTATTTTATTTTGTTTATTTTGTGCTATATTACATTGCATTGTTACATTTTATTTTCATTATACAATACAGGATTTCAAAAGGAAATGCAGCACCCTCAACATACAGTAGAAGTAATCATAATATTATAAAAAGTATACATATATATAATCCTATAAGTATCCTTATTATATTACTGTACATCTTCCTTTAAAAAAATATTAGTTTTTCTTCTTTGGTGCTACTTTTATGTACTTTGTTCAATTGAATTGCCTATTGTATTTTATAAATAGATACAGTGCAATATCAGTGCGATATGATACATATAGGTGTTAGTGATTAGGTTATAGAAAGTATTACCAGTTTCTTTTAAATCAACGTTAAGACACTCTTTAAACTGAGAGATTGAGGCTTTTTTACAGGAGCAAATATGGTGGCTTCCCTCCTGACCTCCGCCGTGTAGTTTCAATAAAACACGTTACAAAAAAAGTTTAAATAAGCACGCCTTGGGGAAGGAGTGAGCCATACGAAACAAAGAGGAGAAGAAGAGTGGCTGCAGAGTCAGCGCTCATCTCCAGCTGCTTCCAGGAAGACAGATCCCCCGCCATGAGTAATGTTCCCTACAAGAGACAGAGGACACTGCCAAGGTACACTGCAGCACCTGCTCTGAGCTGAGGTCAGAGAGATACTGAGAGCTCAGACACAAGGAGAACTGAGACATGACATGAAAACTAGAGCACAACAGATGCATAAAGTCTGATGCAATTATGACCATCATGTAACTGGCACTTTTTGGAAACACACTGCATGAATTGATGCCACAGTCCCTAAGACCAACAATGAACTAATTTAATAAACAGGACTGGTGTGTAATTAATACAATTCTGCAATTTTGTATTGTTATTCGTAGCTGCTACTACTTTAGACTGTAAACAACTGTTAAGAGATAAAAGTAGGTGCATTGTTCACTTTCTTACAATTTATAGTTTGTTCTAACTGAACTAAGACATGACATGAAAACTACAGGACAAAAGAACAAATTAAATCTGATGCAATTATTAAATGATTACCAACTTGTAACTGGCACTTTTTTGAAACACACTGCATCATTAAGTCATGCCATTGTCCTTATATTATGTCTTCCTTAACAACTAATGTTCATTCAGTGTGTGTGTGTGTGTGTGTGTGTGTGTGTGTGTGTGTGTGTGTGTGTGTGTGTGTGTGTGTGTGTGTGTGTGTGTGTGTGTGTGTGTGTGTGTGTGTGTGTGTGTGTGTGTGTGTGTGTGTGTGTGTGTGTGTGTGTGTGTGTGTGGCACCTTGCACAGCAGCCCCTGCCTGTGTGAATGGATTGTGAAAGCTGACTTGTATAACGTAAACATGCTTTAAGTGGTCGTAAAGACTGGATAAAGTGCTATATAAATACAATCCATTTACCATTAGAGTGTAGTATAACTGGAAATATAAATCAATTTATGAAAATCACAGAATAATATCATCTCTGACTTTTACGAGGAACTTGATCCATGTTGGTTAGGATTCAAATGTCACTTACAAAAGATGCAACATTTTCCCTGAAATTACATATTCAACCGTGTTTGCTTCAGCAAGATGACAGTGTGATTTAAACACAGTCATAAACGTATCTAGAGGTTAATCAAATGTTTACTCACATTCATCGCTGTTGTGTTGTCACTTAGCTGTCAGGTCCTAAAGTTGATTCAGGAAGAAACAAAGAAAAGATCATTTAATGCCGCGAGAAATTGGACATGTAGTGTATTTATAACAAAATACCACGACGTTTCAAATGCTTGTGTTTTCAGTTACTAATGTTATTTCACTTAGTGGAGAAACTCAATTTAAGTTTCAACAGTGCCTTGAGCCCAATGCCTGTGCAAAACAGATGCATGCTAAACTTAGCTGACATTGTGATGTGTAGCAGTTTATTCATCATGTTTGCCAACCGAGTTTGTTAGCAAGGTTACGGTTCAAGGTTAGTTTATTTGTATAGCACATTTTAAGACACAGAGGCAATTCAAAGTGCTTCACATAGGCATTCAACACACAATAATTAAAAACAAAACAATAACACAATCAAAAACAAAACAAAAAGGGTGACAATTAAAGGTAGGGTAGGTAAGAATGGAGAAACCAGCTCGAGTGCGCTAGAATTTGAAAGTACGCAGCCGAAAAAAATCTGCCCCTTCTTTCAGACTTCCTTACAGAGCCCCTCCTCCAACACACACGGACACGGACATGACCAATCAGGGCACGAGATAAGTGTGTGCACGAGATGGAAGGCTGACAGGCAGGTAGGCCATCCAGTTACTTTAGCCGGGCCGGCTCAGATGATTGGTCGTGCTTTTTACAGCGCTACGGCTTCCACAGATTACATGTTTGTATGTATTTATTGTCAAAGCATTTAATGTATTCATTGCTATCGGGATGTGAAGAGCATTCCATGGAATATAACAAAAAGTGTTTCTGAAGTGAATTACCTACCCCACCTTTAATAAAAGCGATAAATTACTGGCTGCAACTAAAAGTGCAATGATAAGGCACAGTTAAAGGATATCTCAGGATAGGCTGCATTTAAAAGAAAGGTTTTTAACCTTAGTTTAAAAGAACCCAGTGTTCTTGCATGGCATGGCTTCATTAGCTAGCTGAGACCAATGTGGATTTCATCTGATGGCAGCTACAGGCTCCAGAAGTCAGGGTTAAGGTGGCTGGAAAGCACAAAGCACATTGACAATCAAGAAGAGAAAGAAAATGGCCTGTTTATATACTGCAGGGCTGATGAGGGGAAGTGGAAACAGGTGAGCAGGTGGGAGAGTAAGAGGGCATCTGATGGATGGAGAATAGCAATTAAGTGTAAATCTGTCAGAAAAACAGAACTTGTGTTCTTCTTTTAGGGTGAGACTCAAAGCATTTCATCAAGTTCTTAACTGATGTGATGCATATCTCAGCAACAAAAATAAAACAGTACAGATGAGTTGAAGATTTAGCTGAAATTGATGAAGACATGTCATTTATACTAATATCTTTTGGACAAAAATAAGAGGATAATTAGAAATCCTTTATTAGTCCCACAGCAAGGAAATGTTGTTACAGGGGCACATGGCCAAAATAAAGTTAGTAGATTCATTTATAAAAAAAACATAGACGCAAGCACACGTAAAAAAGTGTATATTGAACACAACAGTGTTAACAACAATGATAACAGTCTGAGGTAGGGAAGTACAGTGGCAGCCAATCAAAACAAAGACTGTGTAGTACAGTATATTGCACATTGCAGGGTTATTGCATGATAGTCTGTGGAGTATCAGGTGGTCTACCAGGGTCTGTGGTGGTTGTACAGTCAGACCGCTGCAAGAAGAAAGGACTTGCGATATCTCTCCATGAGAAACGGGATGTGAGTGTTGTGTGTGTCACGTGATTTCATAGATTCAGCTCTCTGAAGTTCACTCTTCAAAGGTTTTCACTACACTTCCACATGCAGGCTCAGCAGAGGCCTGTCAGACTGTGTGACTTTGGGTCTAAAATGCACAGAGGGCTCCATCAAAGAGGCAGTGGGGGCCTTTGACATACAGAAGGTCAACAACACTCAGATTCACTTAAAAACTCCAGGTCACATCTTGTCTTTGAGATTCACCGCTTTTAACTCGCCTGAAGAAATACGAATGTCCGTTAACATGAAGTGCTTCTTTAATACTTATTTGTTCATATGTCTGTATCACTTTTGATATTATGAGAATTAAGAGCATGCATTATTCACGTGTCACTAGCTTGTTTTAGTTTTTAAATCATAAGTGAGGCCTTGTACTTGTAGGATCAGAAATGTATATATAGAAGTGGCCACATGCATGTCAGTTCTATCACGTAGTATATATATTTCTATCAGCGCACATCAAAGAAGAGAGAAATGTTAAAAAGCAATATAAAAGGCATCCATCAATCTGGTGGAGCTGTGCAAACATAATGAGAGATGTTTGAGAGGGTGCAGTATGTTTGACGGAGGAGTCACTGCCCTGGGGATTAAAGCTTTTCGGAAAATTCCTGCAGGTCGATAGGATGAAGGAAAGAAAAGGTCAAATGGTGTTGAAAGAAAGTATATTTACTCACTGCTACTCTCTGACATAGAGTCAAAATGGAAATGTTAAAAAAAAGGACAGAAAATGTAACTTTTTACTGAGCACCAATGTCAGTTGAGGATGTTTTGGGATAAAAGTATTTGACACATGGCAGTAGATAAAAAAGCTAAAGGATCCAATATCACCAAACACATTTCAAAGCAATCCATCTAAAATGATTTCATTTAAATTCAAACTGTAAACGTCATGATTGGTGCCACAGGAAAGGTCAAGAGATCACCAAGTTATTAGGGTAGCTTTTGATATGTTATGCACATTAAATGAATAGATGGTGAGATATTTCACCATAAGGCTGATGGTGCCACAGAAAACCATTTAGTGGGGTTCAACCTCTTTGCAGTTTGCATATCCGTCGCCAATGTTATGGGAGTTTATTCCATTCCTTGAGTCTAGGCCTTACATGGGAGAGAAACTCGCTCTGGAGGAAACTTTGGGATTTTAGTCTTTGCAGACCATTTACATACACCAAAACCTATCTAGCACACTACAGGACAGAGCGAACCCAAAGCTTAATTGTGCCTCTTCAAGGGATTTAAGGCAAGGCAAGGCAAGTTTATTTATATAGCACTTTTCAACACAAGGCAATTCAAAGTGCTTTACAAAAAATGAAAGAGATTAAGAAAAGGGCATTTAAAATCAGTCATTAAAAAGAAAAGATAATAAAATAAACATTAAAAGAAAAAATACATGGATAAAAGTTACAGTGCAGTTTAAGATATGAATAGTTAAATTAAAAGCAGCGACAAAAAGAAAAGTCTTCAACCTGGATTTAAAAGTAGTCAGAGTTGCAGCGGACCTGCAGGTTTCTGGGAGTTTGTTCCAGATATTTGGAGCATAATAACTGAACGCTGCTTCTCCATGTTTAGTTCTGACTCTGGGGACAGAAAGCTGACCAGTCCCTGAAGACCTGAGAGATCTGGATGGTTCATAATTTAGCAGGAGGTCAGTAATGTATTTTGGGCCTAAACCATTCAGTGCTTTATAAACCAGCAGCAGTATTTTGAAATCTATTCTTTGACACACAGGAAGCCAGTGTAAAGACTTCAGAACAGGAGTGATCCACTTTCTTAGTGTTAGTGAGGACTCGAGCAGCGGCGTTCTGGATCAGCTGCAGCTTCCTAATAGATTTTTTAGTGAGACCTGTGAAGACACCATTACAGTAGTCCAGTCGACTGAAGATAAAAGCATGGACAAGTGTTTCCAAATCCTGCTGTGACATTAGTCTTTTAATCCTAGATATATTCTTTAGGTGATAGTAGACTGATTTAGTAACTGTTTTAATGTGACTGTTGAAACTCAGGTCAGAGTCCATGACTACACCTAGATTTCTGGCTCTATCTGTTGTTTTGAACATTGCACACTGAAGCTCAGTGCTAACTTTTACACGTTCTGCCTTGGCTCCAAAAACCATTACCTCAGTTTTATCTTTGTTTAATTGGAGAAAGTTCTGACACATCCAG